AAGTTGAAAGGATCTCAAATAACAGGTGCTGGGAAAAGCTTTGGTGAGCCACTGCTGGTCAAAGGAGACAACACAGAGGGAGCAGAACAACAGTTGGACTTGGCATACAGCAGGACAGAGCCAGGGTAATGCAGTGGTTAGAGTGCTGGGCTAGGATATGGGAGGCCCAGGTGAGAATCCCTGCTCTGCCATAGAATTTTGCTGTGTGACCTTGGGCTGGTCACAAACGCTCAACCTAACCTACCTCACAGGATTGTTGTCAGGATAAAATGGAGGAGAGGAGAACAATGTAAGCCACTTTGTGTCCCCATTGGGGAGAAAGGCAGGGTATAAACAAAGGAAGTAAGTAAATAAATAGATGGGTATTGTCCATTGTGCTTGGCAGTGTTCATGTGGGAGCGGTGGCGCAGGCAGTAAATGAAGCCTGCATTCCATCTGACCGAACAGCTTCGGCTGTTCAAGTCCCACCGCGGCCGGGGTGAGGTCCCGGTCTATATCCCAGCTCCCGCCCACCCAGCGGTTCAAAAGCCCGCATGGGCAAGTAGATGAATGGGTACCTGCTCTTAGAGCGGGGGGCACCCTTCCTTCCCTTGTGATGGCGGCGGCGGAGCGTCGGAGCATGGCGTTGGCAGCTGAGCGGTGGAGAGTGGCGGTGGCAAAACATGGCAGTGGTTGAGTCGAGCGGCCCAAGCGGCCCAAGCAGAGATTGGCCAGCGAAGCGCGGCCGCGGGGCAACGCAGTAGGCCGAAGCCAATTGGGACAGAGGCTGGCTGTGGAGTGCGCGCTGTCAGGCGCTGTTGGCCTGTGTTCGGGAGGAGTCGCTGGGACCGGAAAAAGAAGATCTGCGCCAAAAAGACGTCGTCGCCCGGATTGAAGAACCTCCGCAAAAAAGAAAAAACAACTAAGACCCTGCCATGGATGCCTGATAGGTTGTCACTTTCCCCTCATTGTGTGTGGCCCTAGTAAAGGTAATGTAATTAGTAGTTGTATAAATGTAAACCGCTCAGAGCCCATAGGGGGTGAGCGGTCTATAAATTTATGTACGGTAAATAAATAAAATGCCTGCACTGCTAAGATTGCATCATGCACCACCAGTCACAGCTGGCCCCCCACTCTCTCTCTCTTTTTTTGGTGCCATCTCTTGGTGCTCAGAGCAGAGCTGATTTCACCCAGCAAGCTGATCAGTCAGCGTCTGATGGACTTCCCAAATCAAAATGGAAACTCAAGGGCCTGTGTTAGTCTAGTGCAGGGATCCCTAACACGGTACCCAAGTTGGGCACCATGGCGCCCATGGCACCTCTCCTTGTGCTCACCAAGTGTTTGTAGAAAGTGGGCGTGGCCAGGTGTGCCTTTTGCTCAGCGAGGCTTCCGATTGGCCACTGGAGATTTGATTTGCTGTGCAGAGTTTAAAAACATGTAGCATCAGCAGCAGCTGCCACCAAAGCACATGGATCTTCACTGTGTAACTGAAGGTAAACTGCGGCAGCCATTTTGTTGCTGGCTCCACCTTCTGTGCCAGCCATTTTGTTGCAGCCATTGTGTGGCTGTGCCCACCATACTGTGTCAAAGTTCCAAAGGTGTCTGAAGACTCAAAAAAAGTTAGCGACCCCCAGGCCCGTAGCTCGCATGGGGCCCGCCCCCCGCGGGTTTTGCGGGGCCCCTCCCCCAATCCTCTGCTCCCCCTCCCCCCCGATCGCGGTGGAGCACTCCAGGCTCCCCAAGTGGGGAGGAGGAACCGGTGAAGTCGGCCGGGACACGTGGGCAGGCGCGGGGGGCGGAGGCGGCTTCTTAGGCAGTGCCAGGCGCCGGTACAGGGCTCGGTTGGAGTGAGCCAGCTATTAATTGGCAGTCCACACTGGGACCCCTGGTCTAGCATTTCTACCACTGTGCTCATTCTCAGATTCTGCATCCAAAAACTCTGCTTGGAACCTCAATGCCATCTGTCATGGATGGTAGCTAAGTTTGTAGGCCAGGACTCCTTCACTTCCTCCTAAGGAATTACTTGTCCCATGTTTTTTAGCCCTATTTAGGAGAAAGATTTCAGGAGCAGCACCAACTGAAGTAGTCACCCTATGACCGTGGCACAGTAGTCCACTTGAGTGTTTTCATCTAAATCCATTCTAGCCGAAGCTTCAGTCGCATAAATGCAGCAGAGGAAATAATAGGGCCGGAAGATAAACTTTGAACGTTGTTACCCATATAAATATGAGTGTTAAATAGTTCATTGCACAGTGAGTGGGAACAGGGGCATTTTTTTTTAAAAAAAGATCATTGCGTTTTTCCTTTTAAGGGCTGTCCTTTGTTGGGAAACTTTTCATTCCGGGTGTGCATTTGGTGCCCAGATGGCGAAGGCACACGCCGGAGCCCATCACGCTGTCAGGGCAGACGGGTACTTATGTAAATATTTTGCTTCCCCCCCTATAATATTTGGCTTTGTCTAATCTAATTGCTGTCAGAGGCAGAACGTCTAGGAGAGCCGGCGGAAAGCAAAACAATGAACACCTCCGGTAACTTTGGAAGATGCTAACCCGCCTATGTTGTAACTAGCAATTTGGTTGCATAATGCTTTACTCACCCTCTGATGTTGTGGCATATCACTGCAGTTCATGCCAGATGCAATTTCATGACCTAAAGTAGCTCGAAAGCTCCTTTTTATAAAGGCAAGTGGTAGGAGAGATCTAACCTGTAGGATATCGAATAGCATCAGATTGTTAGCCTGGATGCAGATGGCAAAGTGGTCCAAAAAGCCAGTAATCAAAGACATGGGTAGACTTTTGGCTTAACCCTTCCTGTCAATCTTTATTCCAGCTGAAAGGGAGCCTACAAATACCCTAAGGTCCTTTCTGCGCTAGACCTTAAATCCTGGTTCAACCCTGTCCCCAAACTTACATTCTACACTACACACGAGTTCACCCCTGTAATTATCTCAGGGTATTTTTACATTCTACACTACACTCGAATTCACCCCTGTAATTATCTCAGGGTATTTTTTTGTTTCCACATTAGATTGAGGTCACCCCGGTTTCACCCCACACTTGTCCCAGGATAAACAGACGCTGTTATAACCAGGGATAAATTGTGTTGCAAGTTGAACTCTGATAAAACCAGGGATGAGATCCAAGTGCGGAAAGGACCTCTCTCTCTCTCTGTGGTCTCCTTTGTAAAAATTATGAGTACACATTCCTTGGGAGGTCAAATTCATGTCAGTTTGGTGACCACCCCAAAACCCAGCACAGGCATTCCTTTGCAGCAAATGATATTACACGTGAAAGTTTCATTGAAATAATATAATGTTTCATTATGAATGTTGTGAAGCCGGTGTGAGTAATTTATTACATTGTTTGACTTTTCAAAAAATATGTTTTCGTTGGTTTCATAAGCTCTACAAAATCCCTGACCTGGATAGCTCAGGCTAGCCTCATCCTGTCAAATCTTGGGAGCTAAGCAGGGCCGGCCCTTGCTACTATTTGAATGAGAGACCTCTAAGCAATACCAGGGTCATGGCATGGAGGCAGGCAATGGCAAACCACCTCTGAACGTCTCTTGCCTTGAATACCCTACGGGGTCGCTGTAAATCAGCTGTGACTTGATGGCACTTTCCACCACCACCACCACCAAACTATTACCAATGTGGGATCATGCCATGATATCAGTAAACAAAATCAACTCAAATGTAAATTGAATTTTATCATTCTTGAGATCCCCTAGTCTTCTTATACAATGATAATTCCCGGGGTTCACGATTGAGGAAACTGTGATACTTAATTCTCATTGACCTTCAAGTGTCCTTTCACTTTCCTATGAGTATGTATAGAAGAACTACGCAGATCATGAGAGCGAGGGCAGGAAGGGTTGCCTCAGTGCTTAGTTCTCGTGGCCCTTTCTTACACGCCCAGGGAAATGCTGATTGCTACTTTGGGGTCAGGAAGCAATTTTTCTCCAGGCCAATTTTGCCAGGGATCCTGTAGGGTTTTTTTTTGTCATCTTCTGGGCATGAAACAGGGGTCACTGTGTGTGTGTGTGTGTGGGAAGTATTTGTGAATTTCCTGCCTTATGTCAGGGTTGGGCTAAATGACCCTGGAGGTCCCTTCCAACTTGGCTTGCCAAGTCCCCCCGGGGGGCGGGTTTCCCCTCAGATGGTCGTGGGCCCGCCCCAGCGTGCCCGGCGTGGTCATGTCACTTCGCCCCCAAGCTCATCTCTTGAGGCTTTTTATGAGGTTAGGTGGGTGGTGACCTGAGAGAGGGACTTCTTGGCTATGGCCCCCAAATTATGGAACTCCCTGCCAAGGGATATCCTTCTGTCCCCTTCCATCACTGTCTCCACCAGTGGATGAAAACCTTTCTGTTTTGTCTGGCATTCTCTCAATGACCCCTACTTTCTGCCTTATGTTTAAACTCTTCTCCTTGAGTTTTAAAGGTGTATTTTAGCTTTGGTTTTAACTGGATGAACATTGATAATGTTTGGTTATTAAGTGAAAGTACTCCTTCCCCAGGAATAATCTTCCAGAGATTTACCGCTCCTGAATGTTGGAAGTTCCCTTTAACCAACTTCATGAGTAGCCTTTGATGAACTTGTCCTCCATGCCTAATCTCCCTTTACATATGCTTGTAAACTATGTCCACTAGCAGTCAATTCCAGAATTTAATTACTTGTTGAGTAAAGAAGTATTTCCCTTCGTCCGTCCTGAATTTATTGAGCATCAGTCTCACTGGGGGCCCTTGAGTTATAATATCTGGGATTATCAATTTTCTTCATTCCATGCATGACCCTGAATTTTATTGCTACCAATAAGACATGAAAAACTCTTTGCAACATCTATACTTTTGAGAGAAAGAAAAATGGTTGCCTTTCACGTCATTTTGTGACCACATTTACAAAAATAGCTGGTTTCTCACTCCACTAGAAGAGAGTTTACCCCGGTTTATAAAAGACTGATTTCAGTGAAATCTGTTCATGAGTGCCTAACCTTGCTTTTGCAATGTCTTTTTGCCTTTACCAGGAGCAATTGACCAGTGTTCATACATCAAGTACCACTACTCCTCAGCAACCATTCCCAAGAACCTCACCTACAATATCACTAAGACCATCCGCCAGGATGAGTGGCATGCCCTGCGTAAGTCTCTCCTGTTCTTTCTTTCCATCTTTCTTTGTTATGGGCAATGAACGGGCATTCTTTTGGTTCTGCAAAAGGGATGAAAGAGAATCTGAAATCATATCTTTTGTCAGTTTTACTCTTCTCTGTTAATGTCTTGCCTGTGCCAGAAACACTGCATTGGTGCATGTTGGTGACAAAGCACAGATATGCAGGAGCTGCTGCTGAATTGAATTTGGAAAGGACAAACCAAACTGACACTGTGGTTGCTAAGTCAGTCGCAACTTCAGCAGGTTAACAGTTTTGTTCATGATGTTGATGCCAGTGCACCATTTCCTGCTAATCTTGGAGCACAGGAAACCAAAGGAAACCTAGATGATTCACAAGACATATTTAATTTGCTGAGGCGGACACAGATTGATTTTCCCTGCCTCAGTGCTTTCTGGCATGTTAAGATGGTCTTTCAAGTATGTCAGCATGAATGCAGATGACGTATGAGTGGGCAGCAGATGTATGGTCAGCAGAACTGTATGATCAAATATGTGGTCATGGCTTTCCCTCCCTTGACTTTCAGAGAGGGGCTGAGAAGAGCCTGGCTTTCACTTGTAACTATGGTTTGGCAGGGTTGGTCATAGTTATGTTGGCTCATAGATTTCCCCTTGGATAATTGCACCACCTAGATCTCTCCAACCAATGCGTATTCAACAAGAGCCCTTTCCTCCTGCATTATAAGCCACACTCAGATCAACCCTTCTCTTTGCCTATGGCAGTACACAGAAGGCCACCAGAAAACTGGCTGGTTGTCATTATCGCCAGTGGGCATCATTGTTGTAACAGCATCCGAAGCAACAGATCGTCACAGGAGAAGAGTCCCTTTGGGATATGTGGCTGACATTAGACATTCCTGTTCCTCTGACACTGGGGAAGATGGCAGAAGGGCTTTTGTGTCCAGATGGAATATATTTCATTATGATTACGTGTGAGCACAGCAGTAGAAGGTGCTTGCCCATGTCTGTTCCAAACAGAATTTCTAGAGAGATGGGTGACGGCACAATCCGTTCAAGAGGTAATCTTGGAATCATTCTAAGGGGAAAAGGGCATGTTCTTGTACCTTTGAATAAACACAAGGGGGGGAAAGAAGAGCAGTAGGAAATGACAGAATACTCAAGCGGCAAGAATCGGGGAATTAGCCCTGCAGTCGTATTTGATTTCAATGGGCTTAAGTGGGGGCAGTTCTGCATGGATTGTATTGCAAGTGTCTGATGCATTTTGAACTGGTACTTTTTCTCAGGAGCAATGCTCCCTCTAAACTGTGGAGTCTTGTGAGCAAAAAATTCTACTTTGTGAGCTACGGGCATTAAAGCTGTGAGCAAGTGATTTGGCTACTGCATAAGTGAGTCTGCTCTGGAGCCATCCTTCCTGAGCTAAGACAAAAAGGTGTGAGCCGGGGGCTAAAAAACTGTGAGCTAGCTCACACTAACTCAGCTTAGAGGGAGCACTGCTCAGGAGCACAATTAAAAAAAAATTGGGGAAACTTCCTATCCCAAGAACATGGGTTCCAGCAGGTAGCCATGTTGGTCTGCAGTAGAAGAAGAAGACTGGAGGCCAGGAGCACCTTCAAGGCCAAAGAGATCTCTTGGGCACATGCTTTTGGGCATCAAAACAAAGTGAACGTTGACTCTTGAAAGCTTCTACCCTTGTTTTTCTGTCCCAAATTCAGAAACAGCCATGGACCAAATCTTGTTTTTTCTGTCCCAAATTCAGAAACAGCCAGAAGATATCCTCATCCCAACTGTACATGGTTTCCCCCGTTTTAGCTTCCTCATAGGGAACAAAAGTGAAACGTTTTAGTTGTTTACATGGGTAATGCAGAATTCTTCTGCATTACTGGCAACTATTAAACTGGTAATGCAGAATTCTGATTGGAAGCATTTATTCCTTTCCATTTTATTCTGCCTCAGAGGAAGAATGCAAGCTTAAAACATGGACAGCACCATTTCCCCAGTATTCATTCACTGAAAAGATGTGCATACCTGGACATGCAACCATACTTCCTGGTTTACAAGCCTAATACAGACTAACCAGAATTCATCCTTAAAAATAAAACAGTAGGAAATGATTCAAACCAAAAGCACCATCAAAATCTCACTCATAGCCACGGCAAGAGAGCCAGTTTGGTGTAGTGGTTAAGTGCACGGACTGTAATCTGGGAGAACTGGGATTGATTCCCCACTCATCCACTTACAGCTGCTGGATGACCTTGGGCAAGCCATAGTTCTGTCAGAGCTGTTCTCTCAAGGATAGTTCTCTCAGAGCTCTCTCAGCCCACCTACCTCACAGGGTGTCTGTTGTGGGGAGGGGAGGGGAAAGGAGTTTGTAAACTGCTCTGAGACTCAGAGTGAAGGACAGGGTATAAATCCAATCTCTCCTTCTTCCTCTTCTAAAAGTCCTGGAGAAACAGCAAGAATGAGACATGGCTACCCCAAAAGCTGTTTCACTAGTGACTGAAGCTTTGCATCATAGAGACAAATCTCTTATTCATCTCTTAGGAATTGGGTAGGTTGAAGTAGGATGCTATGCTGGGGATTATTAGGAAGGGTATTGAAAACAGATCAGCCAATATAATAATGCCCCTATATAAATCAATGGTGCAACCTCATTTGGAATACTGTGTGCAGTTCTGGGCACCACACCTTAAAAAGGATATTATAGCTTTGGAAAAAGTGCAGAAAAGGGCAACTCGAATGATAAAAAGGTTGGAACACTTTCCCTATGAGGAAAGGTTAAAGCGCTCAGGGCTCTTTAGCTTGGAGAAAAGATGACTGAGGGGAGACATGATTGAGGTTTATAAGATTATGCATGGGATAGAGCAGGTAGAGAAAGAAGTACTTTTCTCCCTTTCTCACAATACAAGAACTCGTGGGCACTCCATGAAACTACTGAGCGGTTGGGTTAGAATGGATAAAAGGCAGTACTTCTTCACCCAAAGAGTGATTAACACATGGAATTCACTGCCACAGGAAGTGGTGGCGGCTACAAGCATGGACAGCTTCAAAAGGGAATTAGATAAGCATATGGAGCAGAGGTCCATCAGTGGCTATTAGCCACAAAGTATAGATAGGGACTCCGAGGCAAGGGATGCTCTGTCATCTTGGTGCTTGGGGGGGTCAACAGTGGGAGGGCTTCTAATGTCCTGGCCCCACTGATGGACCTCCTGATGGCACTGGTATTTCTGGCCACTGTGTGACACAGAGTGTTGGGCTGGATGGGCCTTTGGCCTGATCCAACATTGGCGTCTCTTATGTTCTTATGTAGGAGGAATCAGGCCTTCATAGACTGTGGTCACACACCTTTCAGGCATTTAGTATCTGTGGTTTTTCTTTTTACAGCAGGTTTGGATGCCATAACCAATCAGGGACTCCAAAATGGCCCCTAGCGAAATGACACAATGGCGACATTGGGTTCCAGTGCTTCCAAGATCATCCTCAGTTCAGGCCATGAATGGTGTCGATTGTTGAGTTTTAGGGAGGTTTTTAAAGGTCAGATTTCACCTGTCCTTTAGTTTTAAGTCTCCCTCCCCCAATTGTACAGAGCTAAACATTCTTATGAGATGGTTTGCCAAGCGAACAATGTATTCCTTGCTCCCCGAGGGAGAGTTCCTACCATCTAAATGCAAAGGTGTGAGTGCGCAGGGTGGGGAGATATTCTGGTTGTTTGAGAAAGAAAAATCATCCATTCCTGCAGTTACCAATAAAAAGGGACAAGTGTATGCATCAATTTGATGGAACATTTGTGTGCTTTTTGGTAGACAGGGAGCTGCCTGCAACTGATATGTTTGGAGCCAATAATAAATCCATAAAGTACATAAAATCTGTAAAGCAAATAAAATATTCCAGGAGATTTATGTTTCTCATGAACTTGGAAGTGCAATTTTAATTCAAGCTTTGCATTGCAAATGCCTTCCCCTCCCCAAAACAATTCACAAGTGGTTTTGATGTGCACCGTTGGTTTCCTGTTTGCACTTCATTTGCCCCCAGTTCTGTCAGTTATAGCTGACTTGGAGGTTCCCAGCAGGGTATAAGCAGAGTTAAAAATGCACTGAATAACTTGATATGCACAAGAGTTAATGCTCTGGCTGCTTTTCCCTGTTTCACCTCAAGGAAAATCAGTGCCAAAAAACAGTCCATCACTGATGGAGCTCATTTATTTGTCAGAGACTGCTGGTAATTATGTTGGTTCAAAGGAAAATCCAGAATAAAAACCATGTAATATGTTTTATTGAAACAAAATATCATGAAATAATGTGCCAGCTCCAGAACTATGTAACAGACTCTAGCCAGATGAAGAATTCTGGAGAACCCAAACATTCGAACACTGTTTTATGTTTTGTTTGGTTTATCCTAACAAAAAGGGACTAGATTGCTGCTTTGGGGAGGGGTATTATTTATTTATTTATTATTTTTTTTATTTAGGTGGGCTCAGGGTGGCTTACATAGAATTGCTTATAAAATACAATTAGAACCTGTCATATTTGTGTTGGTCTGGAAGGCCTTTGGTCATGTAGGTGATAATATCAAGGTGGTTTGCTGACATACAAGCTGATCCTTTGCATGTTTGGCCCTGCTTAGCTTCCAAGATCTGCTGAGATTGGGCTTGCCTGGGCTATCCAGGTCAGGGCTGCAAGCTATATTTATTTATTTAGATATTTACATCCCATCTTTCTTTTCAGTCAGGACCCAAAACAGCTTAACATTTCTTTCCCCCCTCCATTCTGTCACAATAACCCTGTGAGGTAGGTTATGCTGAGAGACGGTGACTGTCCCAAGGTCACCCAACAAGCTTCCATGGCAGAGTGGGGATTAGAACCTGTTTCTTCCAGACTTTAGTCTGGCAATCTAACCATGGGACTCTACGTTTCCCTGTGAGGAAAGTTCGGCTGAGAGAAAATGACGGACCCAGCGGGTTTCCATGGCTGATTAGAGCAGAGGTCCGTCAGTGGCTGTTAGCCACAAGGTATAGAT